TCCTTTCTGGTTAATGTACCAGCATTTTCCCAGTTGTTCCAGCTGGATATGTAAAAGTCGTCCTAGACTCCTTTGCTCTGGTCCTATCAATTAGTCCTAGCTATAGTTAATATATATATTATTGATTTTGAGAGGAAGGGAGAGGAAGAGAGAGAGAGAAACGTGAATGATGAGAGAAAATCATTGATTGGCTGCCTCCTGCACGTCCCCCTAGTGGGATGACCAGGACTCGAACCATGACCTCCTGGATCATAGGTCTACACTCAACCACTGAGCCAGGCCAGCCAGACCCAGCTATAGATCTTAATTCTTCCCTAATGTCTCCTGTCCATCTCAACTGTCATGCCCCATCATCCTTCACCACACTTTACAGAAGCTTCCAGAGTTTTGTGTCATGCAAGTTCTATCAGTGGCCTCAGTTTTATGTATTACAAGAATCATTAAGATGACTGTTTAAAAATTCATATTTTGGCAGTGCAACTAATAATGGATATGAGCCCAAAGACAAGTAACTAACTACTTGTTAGATTGACTAGTCAGCATCACACATCTCTTAGGAGCTATTACAATTGACACATTATCGTACTAGTTGATACCTCTCTATCCCTTGTATAATAATGGTCAATTGTTTATAACATTAAATAACTTAATTTTTCTACAGTAAATACAGGGTGCCCCTCAAAAATGTATACACACTTTAACAGCTGATACTTCAATTTTGAAAATGATATGTATTTTAATAAACACTGCCTTTATAATTATTCAAAGTGCATGTGTACATTTTTGGAACTACATATATACATATATATATATATATACACACACACACACACACATATATATATTGCTTTTACAGTCAGTAAGAAAGAAAAACAAACATAAAAAAGAAAACTATTTTCTCTAACTTGGAATATGGAGACTGTTCATTCACCCTTCTTGTAGCTGATTGACCACTTTTTCCCCCTTGGATATTATGATGCATGTATTCTGTATGTTTCTTCATAATAGTCTTATCATTTAAACCTGCTAAAGGCTTTCACCTAAGTGGAGCCTAACACAGGAGTTGAAATATATTTCATAGAAACGAGCAATCCTCTCTTATCTGTACCTCGTTCATGTCATGGTCGAGGGATAATTATCATCGTTCACTTTACAGATCATTCAGCTGATTGAAGGCAAAGCCTCCGCTTACGTGTTTGCGAGTCCTGGCTGTAAGAAGTGGGACACTTGTGCTCCAGAAGTCATTCTACACGCTGTGGGAGGTGAGTCCGTTTTATTAGCAGGGATTATAGCTTTTGCAGTAACGCCACTTTACCTAGACTCTCAGGATATAAGAGCTAGGAGGAAAGTTAGCGATTATCTGTTCCAACCCCCACATTTCATAGGCGAGAAAATAGATTTTCAGCCAGTTCATTTTTCTTTACATATAGTTTCTTTTTTTGGACCTTGATCTGCATGTAGTTAACTTAATTAAACCCTTATTAATTTATGGCTTTAATGCTTTTAGGGCTTTTTAAAAATATATTTTTACTGATTTCTGAGAGGAAGAGAGAGTGAGAGAGAGAAATAGAGACATCAGTGATGAGAAGAGAATCTCTGATAGTTTAGGCCCGATCCAACAGAGATCGGACCTAAACCGGCAGTCGGACATCCCTCTCCCAATCCGGAACTACTGGCTCCTAACCACTCTGCCTACCAGCCTGATTGCCCCTAACCACTACAGCTTGCCAGCCCAATCACCCCCTAACCACGCACCTCCAGC